TTTGGACCCCATGAACGGCTGAAGCATGACTATGCTTCGTCAGATATCTCTCTGGGCCGTGGTGGTCCGGGTTCTCTGCACTCCGTCGACATGGCCGGCTTTGGCCTGGATGGAACGGACGACATCTGCAACGTTCTGAGCCCATGATGCTGGGGGCTGTGCGTGCGTGACCTCATTGTATTTGGCGTGCTATTATCACTGCATCAACATGTAACGACTTATCTGGATTGACGACTGCATGACTGGGCGTTTGCGAATTGTTTTGCTTGTTTTCTCTTTCCCATTTCTGTGCTTTTGAACGGTTCTTTTTCGTGATCACTTGGGCGATGATCATTGACGACGGAGTTGAAGCTAGCTGGCTGGTTGCGACTCAACTTGAGGCCTTGTCTACTGGAGGCCATGCATGATCTTGTTTTCATTGTCTGCGAGGGAGTTGATTGAAGTGGTGAAGGCGAAGGAGTCCAGTATACAGAATCAAGGAGAGCGACCGGCTGGCCCCCCTCAAAAAGTGGCGGTGGGCAAGTCGGCCAGGTGGCCATCCGCCATACCCAACCCAACGCCAGGCGTTTTTGATGCCCGGGCTGGCCCACCCACCGCCGTTCCCGCGATCATTTGTTTCCCCCGTCGATATCCATCCCTCTTCCCTGCTTTCATTGCCCCTATCTTCCCTCCCATCTACCGTTCCCCTTGTCACCTTTCCTCCTTTGCCTGCCTGGACCCTCTCCCTACCTTACATCTGTCTGTTGGAGAGATATTGGGGCCTACTTTCGCCCCTCTACTTCTGGTCCGCACGTACACTAGACATGTCACACACACAAAAAAAGAAAATCACAAAAGACAAACACAAAACCTCCATTTCGATATCAATGGATTTTTCTCCTGCGAAGATGATGGACTTGTCTCTGTTATAGTGAATCCATTTTCCCCCTGTTTGATACCCCCCACCTACATGCCCTTCCCCTGTGTTTTCCTATTCGTTCGGATCTTACCCTCTCGGTCGACCTGATGTGTTTGTTATCCCCTCCCCCTCATGCCCGCTTTCTCCCCCGCATTTTCTCTATCTTTATTCCGTGGCGCTCATCCTTTGCCTGATGCCCTGTTTGAGCACTGGAGTCCGACATGAGGCTCGAGTGTTGCTGGTGAGGGGTGGCAATGGATGTGGCAGCCGTCACTTACTTAGTAGTAGTGAGTGACAAGACACCAGCCGTGATGTACGTTGGAAATGGATAGTTGTGAAACTCCGAAATAGCTAGAAATCATACTATTATTTGACCTGAGGGAGAGTGCCATGCTATATTGTAGTTCTATGAAAATATATATATATATCCTACCATAGCAGATATACCCTAGAATTTCATACTACTAGTAGTACTATTTAAATCAATGTAGTCAATTTAGGCAGTAGTAATCCCTCGTAGACAGACCCAGATCTGGCACCCACCCTGTTACCCCACGAACCAGGCAATTCAGCACCATGGTTCGCAAAAGTGAGGAGCGAGCGGATGTGATGGAGACTTCTTCCCTTACCCCCCGCCTCCCCACCCACACACACAGGAGAAGGAAACTGAAGGAGAGGGGAGAACCGCGCGGAGGCCATGACCCAGTCAGTCCAACTTATCCGGCGGGATTTCCCTTTCCGAGGCATCAGTGCTTACAAAATAAGTTAAGCTACTTAGCTTTGTTTCGCCTCTCGTGTTTGCAAGTGTCACGAGCCCTAGCTTATGATGTACACGACACTGCAGAAAAGGATGTAGTGGTTCCGAACGTGCAGATGCGGGGAGAATATGCATGGATGCATTAAAGAACCCAGTCAGGGGGGGATTAGACCTGCATTGGGCAGTACATTGTTGGTGATGGTGATGATGTAGTTATATGGGTGGTAAGTAGTCATGATTGATATCTTCATTTGATGAAGATTTCCCTAAGGTATATACAAATCTGATAAGAAGTATAAAAGATAGGATCAAGTCATCACCTTGTTAACTATCTAACAGGGAGAATGAGGGTTGTTAATCATGGCTTATCAGCGCGGTCTCGGACCGCCGACCACTAGCCCGACACCGGAGGAGTTTTAGTCGGGGAGCTTATCGCGGGGAGGAGGATTCTCATTGGCAAGTTGGCAATTTGATGGAGACAGACAGTCTTTCACTTGTTGTCGTTGTCGTCGTTGTCTCTTGTGGTGTGGATATTCCTGGTGGATTATTATGGAATTGACAGAGTTAAATCAGTGTAAGTGCGGGGGATGATGTAGCAGCAGCAGCAGCAGTTGAGTTCAGGAACTGGAAGCTAAACTAAAGTTGCCCTTTGCTGTTCTTCCTCTTCTTCTCTCTTGTTCCTTCTTATTCCCCTCATTTATCCTGCTCGTGTTTCCCTCTCTCTCCCTTTCTCCTTTTCCCTGTTTTTATTTTCTTCACTCTACTCCCATCCCTTACTTTTTGGGATCTGGATTTACTTTTAATGACGATATGTCTGTCTTAAATTAAGAGACTTGAATTCCTGAGAGATAATTCTAGTGGAAACACAATTACTTGCTTCTTTTTTTCTTCTGTTCATAAAGAAAAGACACACGACTTCTTGATTCATTAACTGAATTGACTGCCCATCATGCGACAACCTTCCATGGACGCCAACGCCGATGAGGCGTTGGCTAGAATGGGCTACAAGAGTGAATTGCCTCGCAATTTGAGTATGATGAGTATTCTCGGCCTGTATGTGTTCCATTCCAGCATTTATATATATGTACTAGTAGGGAAAGGGGACATCACTCACCAAATCAATGTATCAACAGCTCCTTCGCCATCATGGCCGCCCCTTTCGGTCTCAGCACCACCCTCTACATCACCCTCACCGACGGCCAATCCGTCAGCGTCATCTGGGGCTGGGTCGTCGTCACCCTCATCTCCATCGCCATTGCCGCCTCGCTGGCCGAGATCTGCGCCGTCTACCCCACCGCCGGCGGAGTCTACTACTGGAGTGCCATGCTCTCCACGCGCAAATGGGCCCCCGCCATGTCCTTCATCGATGGCTGGCTCACCCTCGTGGGCAATTGGACCGTCACACTCAGTATCACCTTCTCGGGAGGGCAGTTGATTCTCAGTGCCATCTCACTCTGGAATGAGGACTTTGTCGCCAACACCTGGCAGACTATTCTCATGTTTTGGGCGGTGATTGGGTGCTGTGCGTTGGTGAATATCTTCTTTTCCAAGTGGTTGGATTTGATCAATAAAGTGTGCATTTATTGGACGGCCGGGAGTGTCGTGATTATTCTCATTACGCTTTTGACCATGGCGGATGAGAGACGCGATGCTGAGTTTGTTTTTGCGCATTATGATGCTTCGCAGAGTGGATGGTATGTTTGCCCCTTCTCAATCTCCAGGGTTGGTTTATGGACCCGTGCTGATGATGTTAGGCCTGCTGGTTGGGCGTTCTTTGTTGGTCTGCTGCAGGCAGCATACACACTTACTGGATACGGCATGGTGGCTGCCATGTGTGAGGAGGTGCAGAACCCGCATCGGGAGGTCCCCAAGGCCATTGTGCTATCGGTGGTGGCGGCCGGTATCACAGGTCTGGTCTATCTGATCCCTATCATGTTTGTTCTGCCCCCGGTGCAGACTCTTTTGGCTGTGGCCAGCGGCCAGCCTATCGGACTCATCTTTAAGACAGCCACCGGCTCCGCTGGCGGAGGCTTCGGGCTGCTGTTTCTGGTGCTGGGCATCCTGGTGTTTGCGGGAATTGGCGCATTGACGGCTGCCAGTCGATGCACGTATGCCTTTGCTCGTGACGGAGCCATCCCCGGCTTCCGACTTTGGAGGAAAGTGAACAAGAAGTTAGATGTGCCAGTGTGGGCCATCATCCTCTCCACCGTTGTCGATTGCCTGTTAGGGCTGATCTACTTTGGGTCCTCCGCGGCCTTCAACTCGTTTACGGGTGTGGCCACCATTTGCTTGTCAATCTCGTATGGCCTTCCCATTTTCATTTGCGTGCTTCGGGGGCGTGAAGCCGTCAAGGAATCCAGCTTCTCGCTGGGACGATTTGGATACGCGATCAACATCGTATCCATCTGCTGGATTTGCCTGGCTGTGGTGCTCTTCTGCATGCCCACCTCGTTGCCGGTGGATGCGAGTAGCATGAACTACGCGAGTGTGGTGTTTGCCGGCTTTGCGGCGATCAGTATCTTATGGTATGTGGTGTACGCGCGCAAGCATTTCACAGGGCCACCAATCGCGGACGAGGATATGCCTGGTGTGATGACGGGGAAACCCATCGATACGGAGAATACTTATGCGGCGCATGAGAAGGAGGGGGAAGTAATGAAAGCCTATTAGCGATTTGTTTGTATATAATTAGGTTCGAAGCTATAATGAATATACTTATACAATAACGTCTACAAAAAAAGGAAGCTATCTTTTATGATAGTATTGTCCGTAAAGGAGTCACTTTAAAATAAGTAAAAAGCATGAATGCAATGGCGCGAGGTAGGGTGCATCTAATAGATCGATAGATAGCCGATCAATCACAAGTCGGGCTGGCTGAGCAGCCAGAGGGACTAAACTCCGACAACCGCGGTTCAATCGCTCCCCATCATCCATCAAGCAATCAACCACAACCACCACACCACCGATCTCTCAGCTCGCAGCCTCACACACTCCCTCCCTCCCCCAAAACAATCCCCACGCGACCAACCAGCTCTACACGCGTGCTGAACCCTACCACATCCAATTCCAATTATTTCTCCCCCCGAATCAACTATCACCAGTCCTGCGCGCGCACTCTCTCTTCCTCTCCCTTGGCCGAAATCCGGGGAAGCTCCGACTCCAACACACTCAACACACACACTGTCGCTCTTGCTCGCACCGATAAGCAATACACCACAACGCAACTACTCTCCAATACAGAGACACAACACAGCAATACACTGATGCGGACCCATCATCGCGCGCACTCCCGTCCCCGTCTGCTCTCATGTTGCTGAAGCCGTCCGACGTCTTGTTCCTCGCACCATGTCGGATTCAGTGGGTGCGTTGATTCCCCCGACCTTTACCTACTTTACATACTATACTGGATAGCATTAGTTGGAGGGATGAATATAATCTGGAGGGTGATAATGTGCTGATTGATGACGTTCAGATCGTGTCTTCGTCCATGCCCTTAACACGGTGAAACGCATTCCCCGCACGGGGACCGCTAGACCGCCGGCGTCGGAGAGATTGAAGCTTTATGGCTTGTATAAACAGAGCATGGGTATTTCTTCCCTCCCTTTTGATTTATTTTTATTGGGGATTGATGATACTGTAATGGGATATGCTGACGAGGAATTTCATTGAAAATATGTAGAAGGCGATGTCGAAGGCGTCATGGATCGACCGGTCGGGAATACCGCGGATGTGTTTATGGAGTGTGAGAAATGGTATACTTCCCCATACTTCTCTTCTATATGCTATCAATGTCAGTATGCTAATGATAATAATGATAATGTAGGGACGCATGGCACGCCCAACGAGGCCTCTCCCGAACAGAAGCCAAACGACGCTACATCTCCACCCTCATCGAAACCATGCACAACTACGCTTCCCAAACAGCCGAGGCAAGGGAACTCGTCGCAGAATTGGAATTCGTCTGGGATCAGATCAAATCCAACCCGTCTTCGTCGTCTATGTCGTCGTCTCAGGGCCTCGGTAGTCCGGTGGCTTCGGCGGCAGCGGTGTCCATACGGGATCATGCACGGATTCAGCAGCATCAGCAGCAGCAGTTCCAGCAGTCTAGTAATAGACTGACTCGTCCGGAGTATGAGCAGTTACTTGCTACCACGGCTAGAGGGAGAGGGAGTGAGAGATTACGGGTGTTGAGTCCGGTTAGTCAGGCGGAGTCGGGGTTTCGACGACAGATGGAGGAGGATGAACCACCTGAAGAAGAAGAAGAGGAGGAGGAGGAAGAGGAGGAAGTGTACGCGGAAGCGCAAGATAATCTGTTCGAGAATGAAGACGACAACGACGAAGAAGAAGAACATATGGAGGAAGAAGACTACAACAACAACACTCACGACCGTCACGAATCGCATGACTACCATCAACAACAACAAGGGTACAACTTCCCCTCCCATCAGGAGGAAGACTACGATCACGATACTACCCTAAGTCGAAGACGACGTCGACCACCACCAACACCCTTGGACGACTCCAAACGCTGGCGTCGCACCGTCGAGCAGGCCTTGACGACCATGACCGCCGAGATCGCCGCCGTGCGAGAGCAATTGGAAGCGCGAGCACTAGCTCATCGTCGACGAACAGGCCTGTGGGCCTGGCTAAAGTGGTTGGTTTGGGTCGCCGCACGGCAGATCATGGTTGATTTGGCGTTGCTCGGTATGCTTCTGATCTGGATGAGACTGCGAGGAGATCGCAGGTTAGAGGAGAAGTTGAAGGTGGGTTGGGCGGAGGTGAAGACCAGGTTGGTGTTCTTGATGCTATTTAGGAGGGTTAGGAGGGTGGTGTCCGCGTCTCCTACGTCTTCATCATCATCTTCTTCGTCTGGTGATAAGGCCCCGTGAGGTTCTTTATGCACCGATTTCATTACCATTATTTATTACTTTCTTTTGTCCTTTCTGGTACATATACATATATACCTTTTTCTTCTCTTCTCTTTCTTATCTTTACTTCTACTTATTATACCTATACCTATACCTCTTTCTTTTATTATTTATTTCTTTTGTTATTGTGTCAGGTTGATCATTAGAGGTTGTCTGTCTACTTCTCTACTTCTCTTTGAGGTGTTATACTTCATTGCAGTGGTTAGCTGTCTGCATATTTCTGCGGTGTTCTGGTTGTACACTTTTGTATTCTAGGTGATTTACAGTCTATAGATCTGGAGCCTGGATTATAGTGTATGCATCATTATCATCATTTGATACCATTCATACTATCTATACTTACCACTAGTAGTCTATGAATAACCACCAAGATCTACCAACATATGATACTAATGATGACTCGGAACCAATGACATTCCTGATGCTAATATATACACAAACAGACGTCAACCAGAGAGACGGGAAGAGAAAAACAAAAGGAAAACACCGGAATACAAAAGACAACGTTAAGTTAGTAGTAGTGGTTCAGTTAAGAAAAACACACAATGATATATGCTCCCCTCAAAATATTTCATTTTGTATTTCTTTTAATATTGCCGACCAGGCCAGTCGGAGTAGATCTGCTTGGGGCGCAAGTGCACGGGGACGACGTTCTCGGGGGTTCCGGGGATTTCCTTCTTCAGGCCCTATACATTTTAATTAGTATTGTTTTGTAGGACACAGCCCAGGAAGAATAGGAATGTGTATAAAGAAGGTATACGCACCAGCTTCTCAAAAACACAGCTGTTCAGCTTCATCTCCTGCGCACGGCACTCCCAGAGCTTGTGGTTGTTGTTCTCGAGACACTCCCAGTGAGCGGTGAACGACTTCAGGCAGTGGGTGTTGATGTCCTTGATTCTGCAGATCCATTGAATCAGTATTCATTCTCCGGTAAGTTCATCCCTCAATGGCCCTCTGAAAGCCAATTGAACAGAGCATGGGAACATACACGCTAGCCGCACAGCGCGTCACCTTTCTACCCTCCTTCAGACAGTCCAGCTCTCCGCGCCCGTTCGACTCGTCCTTGCACTTCATGAAATCGTCGTTGTAGGGCTTGCAGCGGTCTCCGATAAAGTACGCCGCGCTGTACAGCGGCGCCGACGTAGCACCGATCTCCTCCACCTTGGGGATGTGATCGGGCATGGGGGTCGTGTCGACCAGCACCTGCTGGTTAAACCTGAGGTAGACATTTCCGTTAGAAAGAGCTGGTCATTGTTCAATTGCGTTGCGTATATGTATGTATGTATGTGTCGTATTATATGTCGTGGTGTACTCAAGGGTAACCCGTGGAAGTGGCCGGTTGGGGAATTGGCAGGATTTCAACGTACTGGGGCTCTCTGGACGCCATGGTGACCGCTGGGCGTAGGACTCAATGGACCGGATCTGGGGGGAAAAGTCGAGGAGAGGGGGATCGAATTGATGGAGATGGTTCGCCGGGTCCGAGTGGAAGGTGAAGCTGCGAGTTTGGAAGGAGTGGTTTTTGCTTGTTGCTGATTGGTTGGGATGGCTGGGTTAGGTAATCTGCTTGTCGCCGGAATTATCAGGCATTAATAGGTAGCTGGCTGTTACTTGCCTCAGGCATAAGGGAGCTCCACACGTGACCGTAACCGTGCGAAAAACAAAGCTTCCCGATGGACTCACGCCAGCATTGCCCGGCTGTTGTTGATGCCGCGCACTGCGCTTCTATTTCTGCTGCTTGTCTGTGGGTATCCCCTTTATTCCCTTATTGAATTTGGTTGTGTGTTGTGGACTAGTCGCAGTATCGCACCTGCTTATTCTTACATTGTTGACAATTAATAGAAAATCGGTATTTACCGACTTCGGTTCAATTGAGTGTTATTGCGCCTTCGTTGCGGAGTGACCGACCTTATTTATTGCAATTGTTCCTTCCATTACCGTGTTGTACTTAATATCGCCTTTCATCTTCCTCGCCATTCAACCTAAGCACAACGCAACTCGCAATGTCTCTATTCGGTCAAGCTGCGGCCCCGTCCACGGGCGGCGGCCTCTTTGGACAAGCCAACAACACCGCAAATAAGCCCAGTCCCTTCGGCGGAGGTGGTGGTCTCTTCGGAAATACCTCGACGACAAACACTGCGCAGCAGAACACCACGGGCGGATTGTTTGGAGGTGCGACGCAGACTCAGCAACCGTCGGGAGGAGGTCTCTTCGGCGGCGCCACAAACACGCAGACTCAGCAGCCATCCGGCGGACTGTTCGGCCAAACCGCGACCCAGCAGAAGCCAGCCGGTGGTGGTCTTTTTGGAGGTCTGGGGCAGACGCAACAGCCCCAGCAGCAACAACAGCAGACTACTGGAGGGAGCTTGTTCGGGCAGAAACCCCTTGGAGGAGGTGGAGGAGGATTGTTCGGTCAGCAACAGCAGTCGCAGGCGCCGCAGCAGCAGGGTGGTGGTCTGTTTGGTGGGTTGGGTCAGACGCAGCAGCCTCAACAACAGCAGCAACAACCGAGTCTGTTTGGTGGTTCTCTACTAGGAGGACAGCAGCAGCAACAGCAACCGGCGCAGCAACAGCAGCAGCCCCAATTGGGCCAGACTCAGATGGGTCAGTCGACGGCACAGCTCGGTTCGAGTCTGTGGGAGCCGGGCCGTGCAGTTACCGGAGGTATGTTGAAGATGATCCCAATGCTATATGTTAGACGTACTAATGGTTGCAGTCCACCGCACCGTACCGATGCAGATTCAGATCGTAAAGGACAAGTGGGATGCGTCCAGCCGTTCCTCCCCCTTCCGCGCGTACTTGTATAACAATGTCGGTGAAGAAATGGCGCCTTTCTACCAGCCGGGTCCGGAGGACGATGACACAAAATGGGAGGATGCGCTGCGGAAGCGGCCCGATTCGGGATATGTTCCTGTGCTTGTCAAGGGCTTTTTCGAGCTGGGCAAGCGCGCGCAGCGCCAGAAGGATTTCCTTACCATGATGCAGACGCGACTCCACGAGATCAACAACTGCCTGTCGGATCTGCTGTCTCGGCACGACCTGAAGATTTCGGTCAAGATTGCCGACTGCCGCCGGAAACATCTCGTCCTCAGCAAGCGGTGTTTGGCGCTTGCGGCCAAGACACAGGTGCTGCGGAATCGCGGTTACGCCATGGATGACGCGGAGGAGGAGCTGAAGAAGAAGCTCAGCCAGCTGGAGCGGTCGGTCTTTGACCCGTCACTGAACGGACGGGCGGAGGAGATCTGGGCGCGCATGCTGGCGATCCGGGAGCACTCGCGACGTCTACAGCAGGAGATGGAGCGGGCCGGACCCAGCGCGGCGGCGCAGGCGGACGACGAGCTGGACGAGCAGACGATGAAGACGGCCAAGAAGGTATGTTACTTACCTCCAGTCATGGTTACTACATATGCTAATGATGTCTAGATATTGGATGACTACCACACGCAAATCCAACACTTGCAGAAGGAGCTCGAAGCAGTGAGAAAGGACTTTGAGGAGGCACAGAAGCTTCCCGGGGGAGCCGTGAACCACTGATGCTGTTGATGCTTGATTGCGATTCCATCATATCATGAATTGAGGGACTGTCTGGTTGTTTGGCTTGTGCTGTTTGGAGCATGGAGTTTATAGGAGCTGGTATCCGCACGTCTTGCACACGAGACGTGGTTTAATAGAGCATAAAAAGTAACCGTGACAGCTGGTCATTTGAGATTCATATTCATTTCTGCAACTCGAGATGTACAATATAATACATTATGCGATGCCCTTCCTTCCTATCCCTTGTATGCATTGTGTGTTGTAAAGTGGAAAACAAAAGTAGTCGACACGCGATTACAGGAACTTCTTAACGAAGTCGATGGCGAAGGGAGCTGTTCGTTTGTTAGTTTGTAGAACAGGTTTCCGGGGCATGCGAAGAACTCACAAAGGTAAAGCAGGATACCACCGGAGACAGCCATGCGGATGGTCTGGTTAGCCTGGACCTCACCGGCCTAGAAAGGAAGAGAAATAGAATGTCAGTATGATGTGTTCTGCTCGGTGTCGATGATGACGATGAAGAGGAATTGGGGTGAAATACTCTGATCTCCTCCTTGGAGAGCTGTTCCTGGCCTGATATTAATTAGCATAATGCAGACATTTGATCAGTTCTAAAAGTGTCTTACCTGGAGCGAACATTGTGATAGTGGTTTATGGGTAAAGAGTAAATGGAGAGATAGATAGATGTATGTTCAAGAAAATGATGAATGGGTTGAATAACTCACTAGTTAATGAATGAATGAATGGGTTCGATTCTGCCGCGCACAGACCACCGCGGAGGCGGAATCTGCTTGCTTTGGGTCTTGCTTGCTTCAACTTCTTGCGCGGTTGCTCGGTGTTACTACTTACTTAAACCTGCCATTTCTTTTCGCTTTTTCTCTCTCTCTCATTTTTTCTTTCTCTTCACTTCCATTATCACCTGAGGAATAAGTCGCCTAAGCATTTAAAGTGTACAAACAGAACTGGAATCCCGGCAAATAAGGTCTTGAGAATCGATCTATCCCATCTACGCTTCACGAAACCTGGTCTAGCCGACCCCGACCACTCCTCATCAGGGGAGAAACTAACACATTCACCCAACCCACCCACAACTGCCACAAGACACAATCATGTCCGAACCGCGCAGTCCTGAGCCCGAGCTCAAGCCCGCCGCTGAAGTGGATGAACAAGAACAACAGCAGGAAGCGCCCCCGACGCCCGGCGGCGACGCCGTTTCGGATGAAGAACCCGCTAAGGAGGTAGAGGCGGAGGCAGAGCCAGAAGCCGAAGAGCAACAAGAACAAGAACAAGACCAAGGAGAAGAAGAGGCCGCGCAAGACGATGGTGGCGATAATGATGACGATGACGACGAAGACAAGATCTCCGACGACGAATCGATTCTTTCGGAAGTCGACGAAGCCCAGTTCGAGGACTTCGATCCCGAGAATGTCGACATCGAGGACCGGCCGCAGCTGGCGATTGACGAGGATAACTTGAAGTTGATCGGACGGCATAAGCGGAAGCGTACTGAGGGCGGGGATGAAGAGCGCTCGAAGAGGAAGAGAGAGGGACGTCGCGAGAAGAAGAGTCGCAGGATGAGGGAGTTGGAGGATGGAGGCGCGAGTGATGAGGAGAAGGCTAGTCGGAGGAGAAAGAAGAAGGAGGCAGAGATTGCGGAAGAGGAGTTGTTGGATCCGGCTACGAGTATGTTTCTTACTGCTGAGGATGGTATGGATGATGCTAATTGCTATGTTCAGGACGGCGGAGAGCGCTTGATCGCGCGATGGACGAGGCGTTGAAGAAGCCGACCAAGAGACGGTTTAGAAAGGCTGATGGCATTGTATGTGCACTTCTATTACTTCGCTGGATGATGGCTGACTCCAACAGGACCTGGAACAAATGGCCGATGCTGAAATCGAAGATATGCGCAAGCGCATGACCCACGCTGCGCAGATGGACGCTATCAACCGTCGCGAGGGCAAGCCTGCCATGCACAAGCTGAAGATGCTTCCTGAGGTGGTCTCGCTGCTCAACCGCAACCAATACGTCAACAGTCTGGTCGACCCCGAAATCAACCTGCTGGAAGCGGTCAAGTTCTTCCTGGAGCCCTTGGATGATGGTTCCCTGCCGGCGTACAACATTCAGCGGGATCTGATGACTGCGCTGGGCAAGCTGCCGATCAATAAGGAGGCTCTGGTTGCCAGTGGTATCGGCAAGGTCATTGTCTTCTACACGCGGAGCAAGCGTCCCGAGCCCGGCATCAAGCGCATGGCGGAGCGCCTGCTGGCCGAATGGACGCGCCCGATCCTCCAGCGCAGCGATGATTACTCGAAGAGGGTATACCAGGAGGCTGCCTTTGATCCTACGTATGTTCATGCCTTAGTCAGACCCTACTACGTCGAATGTATCACTGACTGGAACAGTAAACTGAGCACGACACGCCCTCAATCGGTACAGGCCACTGCTGCAGAGGCTCGTGCCCGTGAGCTACTGCCTCCTCGTCTGGCGAACCGCGCGCGCGCTGACATGACTCACACGAGCTATACGGTGGTGCCGCGACCGACGATGGTACAGGAGAGCAAGTTTGCGCGACCTCTGGGAGCGAGCGGCGAGGATCGCTTCCGTAAGATGCGGGCGCGGCAGATTGCGGCGAGCAAGGGATCCCGTCGTTGAAGAATTTTCATTTCTTCAATTATTAATTCTTTATTCTTCTGGCTGTACCTTTCTTGTTCTATTTCCTTTTTCGATCTCATATGTACGTCAGGTTTTATTTCGTAGATTTTTCGGGAGGCGGCGCAGGGCGGAATGTGTATTATTGGATCATGCCATAGCGAATGGGAAGGCACTAGATAAAGGTCGGGCGTTCTCGCGCGAGACGCAGCTTACAAAGTAGAACCAAAGCAGTAAAAACGGTTGCAATTCGGCGACGCTATCAAGGATCCCGGGCAAACGCCGGATGGTCCGAGTCTCCGCCGCAGACCCCGAGCGTCCAGATCGTACGTCACCCGGGCTTTGCACGTATTTCTAGCATCATTCTCCCTCTGCTTTTCTTCCCTTCTTCAATTCTCTCTCCTCCCCCCACAAAAAAGGCACCTAATACATACATATCCACCTCCATTGCAATCAATTACATACAGCTTCGTCACATAATACCATCACAATGAAGATCCTCACCAAAGAAGAAGAAGATGCCCACTACCGGTACTTCCGCCCTCCCCGCCACCCAATTTTCGAATCAAGTAACTAACCCAGCAATTCTCCAGCGAGGTCGTTAAGGGCGGTACTATCGGTGGTCTCATCGGTCTGGTAGGCGGCGCAGCCGGTGTCCTCGCTGCCACCAGGCGCTACCAAACCATCCGCAATCTCACTCTCCCCATGAAATCCTTCCTCGTGACCTCCTCCGGTACCTTCGTGGGTATCATCAGTGCCGACCACGCCTCCCGCAGCTTCGAAGCCCAGCGCAACGCCAGTCGCCAATGGTACGAGAACCGCGAGGAGCGTCTCCGCCAGGAGGAATTGTCGCAGCTCTCCACGCTCGATCGCGCGCTTCAGTGGGCCCGCCGCGAGAAGTACAAGATTGTCGGTGCCACGTGGGTGGCTAGTATGATCGGTAGTTTTGCTATGGTCAACCGGAATAAGCACCTCAGTGGATCACAGAAGTTGGTCCAGGCCAGAGTTTACGCCCAGGGCTTGACCCTCGCTGTGTTGGTGGCTAGTGCGGCGTTTGAGATCCAGGATCAGAGGAAGGGTCGCGGCCTGTTGCAGGATAAGGTGAAGGCCGAGAGGCAGGCTGCTGAGGAGAGGAAGAACGCTGAGCAGGAGCACACGGGTGATCTGTGGAAGGATATGGTTGCTGCTGAGGAGGACCGGTTGAGGAAGAGAAAGATGAGTCTGTCCGAGTCGGATTACTTGCATCCTCATAATGGACAGGAGAAGAAGGTTGAGGAGGTCAAGGAGGAGAAGGAAGAGCCTAAGAAGGAGGCTGCTGAGGCAAAGGAGGAGAAGAAGAAGGATTAAAATGGTTTGACGAGTGTGTGGTTGATTCTTGTTTATATATCTAGACGTGATTGGGCTGGCCTTGATCACTGGTGTATTTGTTCTTTTCACATCTGCTGTTACTTTTGCCAGTTTTCTTTATGGGGTTGGATACACTCTTCACTCTGGATATAATGCGGTGGATTGGTTGCTAGATTTGGATGAAAAGTGATTATGACTGCTTGCGAATGGTACATGTCACATCTTTGAATTTATATTTGGATATCGATCTTATCTACAACCCACATGCATTATGGAGCTATAAGTCGATCAATTTATCGGACTGGGGCTTCATGTACGGCAATAGTAAATGATTGCCACTATACCTTTATTCCAGTTCCAACCCTACTGGGTATGATTACCTTCAGATTACATAGTTTCCAGATCTGGATTGCTGAGCTGATTAATGAATAACCACCTCGCCACAACGGCATAGGATAGAATATGTTACTAATCGAACACCAGGTAAGATATGCAGTAAACAATTTCATGCAAAGAACAACCAGCTCCTTCCACTAGCAGCCTGTTCCATTTATGTCCTGCACGTGCCCCGACTGGCTACTGACCAGCTATCAATGCATAGTATCAACTTCCAAGTGGGGCCTGCCGATCCGGAATTGCTAGCTGCCTGCAGCCCCCAATTGAACTATAGACTGACTCACTCGCCAAGTTGTCATGATCTCCGGACCCCAGCATCTGAATGGCTACACAAATTGTGGCATTGCCCGGAGAAATCCTACTCCCTGGTGGGGTGGAACTAACTGATTAGTTGGCGTGAGGCTCACAAGGCTTTCGCAATGTTGCTGTCTTATCTAAAGCTACCAGCACAGCCTCGTGGTCGTTCATTCACCGACTCAGTTCACTCTACCTCGCCGAGTTTCTCTTGTTGACTATAAAGCTTATTCATTCCCCCAAACACAGATACCAATATCTATATCAACTATTGTGGCCTGGGAAAATGAGGTGCATGAACCAAAGCACCTTTTTCGAAAACTACGTCTATGCCCTTGAGCATGACTTCTGCTCTCCCACTGGGGAGCCTGCCACCTGGGCGCCTGGTTATCCCAGATACTGGGGCCAGGAAACAGCAAAAGTTCAGCTAGAGGGGAAGGCAAACGCGCTTGCTCTCAGTCCTGACAGTAAGATTATTGCTGTGGGTATTGACAGGGAGATCCATATCTTCAATGCAGAGACGCAGGAACGTGTTGATGTGTTGAGAGGACATACATGTGCCGTGGAGCAGGTGGAGTTTGCTCCGAAGATTTCCAATACCGTGGGATCAGAAGGCACCCGGTACGTCCTGGTTTCGACAGGCGAGGATCTTGAAGAGAGTGCTGGAGAGGGTTACCGCCATGAGGGATATGATTACGCGGTGATCGTCCTATGGGAGCTGGACGAGCGCGGGAGACTCCGACAAAAGGAAGACAGGCCAGTTGACGTTGACACCCTCACGAGCAGAACTCTACAGCCCCTTGTATCAGACCTAGTGTCCAATTACGGCTGGAAGCGTGACGAGAAAGCCATGGGGGCCATTGAACAGGCCATGAAAAAGGCCCTCCTAAATGCCGTCAGTCTACACGAACAAGAAAGCAAACTCCGTCTTCAAGGCGAATTGGCCTCCTTCGGTAGCCCCGCATTCAGCCCAGATGGCAAGACTATGATCTATCTCAGTCAGAACGAAACAACCCAGCACGGACTTCGTGACTCTGCTCTCCTCCCTTGTGTCAATCTCTGGGACATGCAGAGCCGGTCTCTTCGACACCGATTGCTCGGCCACACAGACTCTATCATGTGGGCCGGGATGAGTCCAGACAATACTTTAGTCGCGTCCATCGCATGGGACGGCACTGCGCGAATTTGGAATGCCAACTCCGGAGACTGTGTCCACGTCTTTGGTTTCGGGGACTGTCAGCTCTGGAGCGGCGCCTTCTCTCCCGATAGCAAGTACCTCGCTGTCAGCCAGGGAAGCCCTAGAACCCATATCCATGTTTACGACCTTCAGTCAGGACAGTCCGTCTCTCGCTTCGACGGATTCCGCCACTGGGCACGCACCCTAGCTTGGAGCCCTGACGGTACGGTGATTGCAGCAGGAGGGGACAGCAGCACAGTGCGTCTTTGGGATCCGTTGACCGGCGAGGAACGGATGCAATGGCGTCTGGCATTTGAGGATCCCGTGATGCGGAGCTTTGCAGGGATTCAAAGCGTGCAGTTCGTTGATGAGGGACGAAAGTTAGTGTTCCGGACCCAGGAGGGGACGGTGGAGACGTATGATCTCCAAAGTAATCTCAAGCAGCAGTTTACGAGAGGTACGGGGGATAAAATTGACACGAGCCCTGAGGGAAGGATGGCTGTTTCGAGTGATGCTCAGCTGCTGGTCGTTCCGGACGCGGATGGGGTTTTGAGATTGTGGAATCTGTAGATATGGTGTTTTGTATAAGGCATTTTGGGAGGATATTCATTCGGAATACTTGCGACAGAAATAGGACTTTTCCATAACCTGCGTGGATATTAAGACACTGTTACCAGTTAGCCTTCTTCTCGTCTGGGTAAGCTGTAGGTTCTGGTAGTCATTATGGCGAAATCTGCCCTGAGCAACTAAGCTCCTTCGGCCACTTTTGTACTAATTATACTACTGCATGCGGACTGAATACAGGCACAGCATAAGTCAAGTTAAGTCGTGGAAAATCAAACATATTAAGATCAAGATCAACACTAGTGGACATTACAATTTGTAGAACTGTGAAGTTGTCTCTTGTATGGCTTTATATGGATGCCCGAGCCGGGCACGTGGCCGCTTTGGATGGAAACTACGTCGGTGCCTGTTCGCACAGGCCGCGCCTACGTCCCTCGCTATATTAAGCTCCGTGACCCAGTTCCTCTGTCATATCTGCAACTTCATTACTTATCAGCAGCACTTCGTTGTAATCAGCCAAAATGGGCAGTGAATCAGTGCCCATCTCTCTATCCCACGATGACGCGGCCCACTGGAACAGGGAGTTAATGCTCGAGTTCCAGGCCGCTTTGGAGAAGGACCCAACTGCGGACTTGATGTCAATGTTCTCTGAGGCTTACCTACGTGAACATTAAAATGTCCTTGACAGTCAGCTGCCTTATGCCGGACTTATCAATAGCCATGTATTAAGCGATCTTTATGACGCCCTGCGACATGACCCGGAAGTCAACCTGCTATCAGAATTCCCGAAGAACTATACTCGCCGAATTACAATGGCGCTTGGAGCGAAAGCCACGTCAAAGGACGAACAAGAACATGAGGTAAAGGCGCCTGAATTCAGAGAACTCCATCTTGATCGTGCAGAGACTGCCACAGTCATTTATTCGTTATCCGATGAAGTTATTGCTTTGCTTGCGGGATGTCAACGACCGGACGGGCATCAATTTTCGCTCGGTGATGAGAAATCGCTCGTATCATCCTTGAGAACGCTGCTTTGGAACTCACCACAACTCTGGCAGAGTCCTGTAAGAGGCATGGTGGTTAAGTGCAACGAAAACATTGTTGCCAAGGTCATATCAGGGAATAGGGATTACACGGAGTACACTAGCATGCAATTTCTTGAGAAGCGGGCGCCTCAAATTCCTGCCCCGAGGCTCCATGGGCTGGTAGCATTTGGCCCTTTTCGTGTGATATTCATGTCATATGTTCGCGACATGACTTTGACCCAAGCATGGCCTAACCTGTCACATGAGAACAAGCTTTCAATCCAGCGCCAGCTTGATGATATATTTTGCAGTCTAAGACAGATTCGACAGAAAGAGGGAACTAGTACGCTTGGGGGAACTTGTGGAGAGGGAGTCAAGGAGCTTACGGTCGACGAATGCGCCCTGTTCAAAGGCATCACGACAACAAAAGAGTACAGTGATCTACAATTCTCTGCTCGTCATCATGGAAGTGCCACTTATGTTGGACTTCTGCGCTCCTTCCTGGAACATGACACCTCAACACTGGCACATGAATCGGTGTTCACCCATGGCGATGTACGGACTGATAATATAATGGTGAAGCAGGATCCCGGTTCTAGCGGCCAATGGATTGTCACTGGAATCATTGATTGGGAGGACAGTGGCTTCTATCCGTTCTATTATGAGTGCACTGCGCTGACACGTACTATGAGCCTGGTGGACGAGAATGATTGGTATCTGTATCTGCCGCGGAGCATTTCACCGTCGAACTTTCCTGTGCGTTGGCTGGTTGATCGGCTTTGGCACATACATTTACGGACTACATAAGTCACGTCGCGACTTAGGGTCAAGGCTTGACTAGATGTATCCTTATCTTGAGCGTACAAGGTAGACGTTTTGAACAGCAAGTCATGTCCATCTAATTTAGTGTGATGAAGGGAAGAGCGTCGGCTCCATATTTCTACCAGTGAAAACTTCTTATAGTATAAGACAGAACGATGTTCACTACCGTATGGAGGGATGGAAATGGATTGATTCGACTGACCGTAGACTCCGCCAAGTCCATGGGGTTATCTCCCCAATGCTTACGGGAAGTAATGGAGAGGACGGGAATTTACCTCGGCGTTTGTGTCTTCCTCAGCCTCTTAGATGCAGTCCTTATGGTTGCTGCTTGCTGGTATGTTTCCAAAGTGTGTTCAAGTATCAAGGGATAACGGGAATAGGCTCGTATATATGTCAGGATTGTCTCGAAGTCGGCGCTGCGACTTCATGATGACCTTCTAAAGAGAGCCATGCGGTAAATCACTGTTGTTCGGACTGGGTAAGTGAATAGCAGCTGCAATGAATAATACCCGTTAAGGGTATCCGGTAGACTTCACTCGAGATTGTTAGTGAATACAGTCATTCTCAGCCACATAAATAAACACCAGTCGCGCTTTCCCCATCAGAATTATCCAACTCTTCCCACCACATCCTCAGCTCAACTCAACTACTCCCTGACTATATCTCACCAAGAGCTCAAAAATGCCAGCAGCAGAGTCCATGTTCCCCTCCTCAGTGCCCCACGAATTCTGCATCAGCGAAGACCTATCCGAACTACAACCTGACCAAAAATTACCCCCTTCCCTGCGCGAAGCAAGACTACCCCTATTACGCCCACTCGAAAAAGCCGACATCCTCGAATTATGCACCCAGTCACCGTCCATTCACACTGGTGGTTACAACTCTATGGTTGAGCCTCAAGAACGAGATCTCGATTTGCAACCCCTCTCCAAAATGTGGAGGCAGGAGATGATGAAACTCCCGCCTTTCTGTAAGATCATTCTCGATCTTACTTTGCCACTGCGGGAGAACGAAGATGCCATAGCTTGGGACATAGGCAAGCGCAGAGAAGGCTGTTATATCGTCCGTGTCAGAGAAGTCATGCATATTGCTACCACTATTGCTTTGACGACGAGAGTGCGCTTGAAGGGCGAGGCGGTTTCTTTTGATCTCGATTACGAGGATCTTGATCTTGTTTATGATGATGGGAGTGATGAAATCGTGTCCTGTCGTCTAGATGCGCTGCGGGAGGAGATTAGGGCGTTGGGTACGGCGCCGTCTAACGAGGTGAAAGGGGAGAGTGGGGGTGCTGGTGTGGGTGGACAATCTTCGGATGGATCTGCTCATGGTTTGGATGTTGGGATTGGACGGACTTAATAACACGGTGTGAGTTGTGGTCGGAAATTTCTCAGAGCAGGTCCGGATCATGGGTCCATAGACAACATGCATTGAAGTCAGAATAGTTAGGATTGGTGGTGAACAGCTGGCAAACGTGCTGTGGTTGGTATCGTTAGGCTGAATGTTTGGAGGCCGAGCATTAGTGGAAGTTTAGTGAACAGCAGTCCCTACTTCTTAAAGTCCTAAAGTGTTTTTTGTGGTTCCTCATTAGTAAACCTTAGCGATTACAGGGAAGTAACCATGATTCCGAATGCCAACCATCCAGCGAATTATCGAAAGAGAAGTATATTGTGAAGTGCTAGGACCTGCTGTTGAGGCTTTGCTGATACTAGAAAGTGTTCATAGTGGTGTATATGTCAATATGTTAGATTGAGAAGTACATGTGCCCGGATTCGTTAGTTTTTTTTCGCACGATTGGCCTGACACTACCAGAATGTGAAAGGTAATACTATTTTATTTTTGGCCTCACTGGCTGGTACCTAGGTTATATATGAATGGAAAATGATAATACTAGCTTATCTAAACTCTACGTATTCGTCGAAAAATAGTAGATACTCCAAGGTAACCCTCGAGTGTCGGTGTTCGCCAATTAAAGTTTACCCCAGAGAGATGAGAATAGCTCTAGAATAGTAATCAGAAAGTATATAGGATATTCAGGCCATGGCTATATTCGGCGCTGCAGGATCAAAGAGAGTGCCGAGTACTCTCCTGAGTGTTGTTTCCCTATACGGAAACAAAGAACAAGCATCTTGGCCGCGCTTGATGAAGTAGGGCTTCAACCTTGGCAAACGAGGCTCTACCGTTAAGCTATGGGTTCTGTTCTTGCTCCCAAATGAACTGAGAAGTCAGCATCCACTCATCTTAAACGTGTACTAATCTACCTGTCATTACTGTGATCCTTGACTAGTAGTATTATAACGGAACCGGAAATCTTCTACGTCCAGACTGAACAGACTATGCTTACCGCGCTTTGTCTACTCATGCAGCTTACTAGATTCAATAGTCTAGCACTAGTCCTCGGTTGGTCAATCGAGATCAAATTTCTCCGAAAGACGAGTTGGCCCACTCCAAGGCCTATTGGCTTAGCCATAGGCTGCAAAGTAAAGATGCAGTATGTCTGAAGCTGCGGAAGTGCTAATTTAGCTTTCCATATATGGTGCTAAACGCTGCCTGGGCCCTGCAGAGCGATCGGATCAGCATTCCTACTACTGTCTAGATGCAGGAGACCCGCTCTCATTATGCTTGCCGAGTGCACTTGCCACCAGTTCTAGGGGTTCTCTTTATAGCTCTCTACGGGGAATTGCTTTATTTTCCAGCCCCTATTTGCGAGTCGCTTGTCCCGAATGGTTGGGGATGGTTATTCCGTGTGGAGTATACGGACCTCGCCGAGCTTATATCAAGATGAAAGAGAGCGACTTAACGGGATCTTCAAAGACCGAGTGACGATTCTCATAATATTTACTACCACTCAGTTAGTGCGATACACTGAAGGTTCAGCCTTCAATATCCCTTACTTCCACTGAGGTGTGGTTGTTGTCTCGCAAGTTCGCCAGCATGGACGAGTATTCGGAAGAGCAGCTTCATCAATCCAAACAACACCTAATCATTACCGTTTCGATTGTGTTCATAGTCCTGGAAGTGGTATCCGTGGTTCTGCGCTTTACTTCTAAATTTGTTGAACGGCTGAAGTTCGGCTGGGATGATGCTCTTATGGTTGTGGGCCTTATCCTCTGCATTGCCGATGCGAGCTGCACAATAGGTAGGCCTTGATATCCTAGTCTCCTAGTCAGATGACGAACCTAACTCGCACTTCCCGACAGCTGCCGTGATTTACGGCGGAATCGGCCTGCATCAAGAAATCGTCCGCCAGATCGATCCTGAGATGCTGGTGACGGCGACCAAGTTCCTCATCACTACTCCGTTATTCTACTTCGCCACCGTCGTACCTCCAAAATTGGCTATCCTGCACCTCTATCTAAGCATCTTCACCGATAAAATGCTCCGAAAAATATGTTACGGCACCGGGGCAGTCATCATCATCAATTGGCTTGTGGTCACTATCGCTGGTGTTGTTTCCTGCCGACCGCTAAGTTACTACTGGACGTTCCACGGAAGCTGCATTGACATCAATGCGTGGCTGCGCTGGGGAGGATTCGCGCACATATTGACGGATGTCGTCATGTTGATATTGCCGATGCCGGTGGTTTGGAATCTGCATGCCTCAAGTCGTCTCAAATTGGGTATTTGGGTAACTTTCCTGATGGGTAGTGTGTATGTCTAGACATTTACTTCTCCTTCATGGATTATCCTAATTTTGAAAAGAGAGACACTAACTTTGCCCGAACAATAGGGGCATGGTTTCTTCCATTATCCGATTCCGAGAATTCTACGTGACTGACGTCCAAGGGGATGTAACCTGGGCGGCCTCGACACTGGTGGTCTGGGCTGAGATTGAGGGTGGAATTTACCTTATAGCAGCCTGTTTGCCTACCTATCGGCCGCTAACGAAATTTCTTTGGCGTCGCGTTCTGAGGAAGCGCAGTCAGACGGGCGAATCTCTGCATACGGGAACGGGCCACAGGGCCAGCCAACTGCGACCGGGCCTCGGGTCCACGCATAACGAGTCGAAATTTCCGTGGATGGAGGCATCGAGAAGTGAAGAAGATGTCTTGCGTATGGTGACCTTGGGCAGTCGTTCAGGTGCAGATATCAAGCCGGGGCAGATTGTGGTGGAGCATCACTTTTCGGTGCATTGATTTGGATTTTTCTTCATATTTCCAGACTGTATATTACCGTCGATATATATATTCCACCTTCTAATGCTTAATAATTGGACAAGAATATATTTTGTCTATGAGTTGAGATATTAACAAGAGACCTCGGATGTGAGGGCATGCATCGATTTCCTCTGCAGATACCCATCGTGGGATGAGTCCTACCTCCGACCGAGCTGGACGGGGCACGCTATCCACCTTGCTGTTCATAACTAACCCCAAAGAAGAAATGGAGATGTTGGTCAACTTGAACCAGGCGAACGATCCAATCGTATTTGCGTCAAGTTTCGCAAGGCTACAAAAGACACAGGAATCGGCTTAAAAACCACTTTTAGCGGCTCTTCGGGCGACTAGGGCTTGATTGATGTGGTTAGAGCAGAGCCTAAGTTTGGATCATTACCACTCAGCCGTTTGACTTTATTGCTAGTGCTGACTGACTAGATTGGCCCCCAAATGCCATATCAATTATTCCTTCGCTCAATGGGGCATATATGATCCGATGAGGCTGTCAAGCTTAATGGGGCTACAGCTTATTGGTTCTGTTGATATATCCTCACACCGTTGGCCTGCCATTATCTATCTCCACCCCACATACCAGAGGGGTACAAAGTACTCCACAAACCTTCCTACGTGCAGCTCCACTGGTTATCCGAAGCCCACCTAGGTTCCACTTATTCTAGTCGGTATGCTCCGCTAAGCATAAGCTGGTCCTGCTCGCTTGGGTTGAAGCAGGTGCGGGCCCCTCGGCCACATGGTCCCAGCTTAGGCGGCTCCTCTTTCACTCAACAACACTATATAAACACTACAAGTTGCGCACCTCAATCAGATCTCAAATACACTGCCAACCAAAACTGATTTCGACCATGACTGTCCCAGATGCCTCTCAGTTTGATCCGCGGACGCAACTGCTCCCTCATATTGTTGACCACTACGCCAAGGTCAAACCCGACGCCATCTATGCCGAATACCCCGTATCTCTGATGAGCTACGATGATGGATACCGTCCGATAACATTCAAAGCATTTGCCAATGCCATCAACGGCATTGCCTGGTGGCTAACGGAGAAGCTAGGTCCGGGTGATGGTGAAACCCTCGCTTACGTGGGACCTAATGACCTGCGGTACCCGGCATTGATATTGGGTGCCGTGAAGGCGGGATACCGCGTATGTGGTATGACTTATAACATTGAAATAGTTAAGCTGACACTGTATTATCGAAGATGTTTCTCACCTCCCCAAGGAACAGCGTGGCTGCTCACAGTAGCCTGTTCAATCGCCTCAGTTGCACTAAGCTAGTCACCCCAGTGCCCCATCCACCGCCAGTCAAGGCCATCCTGGAAGGACATACGCTGGATATACTGGAGGTGCCTAGTGTCGATGAGCTGATAAGCAAAGAATATGCCCATTTCGAGTTCTCTAAGACTTACCCGGAAGCTGCAGGGGAGGTTCTCGCCGTAATGTACGTCCCTGAGTGTCTGTGCAGCGATCGAAGACTAACTTTACAGTCATACGTCGGGCTCCACGGGTATCCCCAAGCCGATCTTTTGGACTCATGACACTGCGTGCAAGCATATGCATACGACGGTCCTGGATCCCCCAAGGGGCCATGAGAGCCAGGATAGCTGGCTGTTTGGCAAGCGGATATTCCTCGTTCCGCCACCATTTCATGTAAGTCTTCGTTGCGTATCTGCAGAGGATATAGGAAGCTAATAGCGTCATAGGCTGCGGGTCTGGCATATTCGCTTTTCATTACCATTCCAGTCGGCACTACCGTCATCTTTCCGGCATCTGGCGGCCTTCCTACCGCCGCTTCCCTTGTAGAGGCAAGAAAGAAGACTCAGATTGATGTTCTCTTGGGTGTTCCTTCCATCATCCAAGAATTCTCCCAGAGCCCGGAGCTTTTGGACTACTGCAGCAAGCACCTTGAACGCTTGGTTTACTGCGGTGGAGATCTTCCCCAGCCGATTGGGGACGCCGTGGCCTCCAAGATTAGACTCATGAATCTTTACGGTGCCTCCGAGGTTGGCATGATCAGCACCATTCATTCCAAAACCGATCGCGACCCTCGCACGGATTGGCGATATCTTCACATTAACCCCCGGATGGGAGCAGAGCTCCGCCACGTCGCCGATCAGTACTACGAACTAGTGATTGTCCGAAGCCCGAGAACTGAGAAACACCAGCTCACCTTCACAGTCTTTCCAGATCAACAGGAATACCACACCAAAGACCTCTTCGTGCGGCACCCGGACCCCAGTAAGCCGGACCTGTGGCGATGGGCCGCTCGTGTAGATGACGTGATTGTCTTCTTGAACGGCGAGAAAACAAATCCTGTGTCTATGGAACAACACATCGCTGCATCCAATCCAGAAGTCACCGCAGTCTTAGTGGCTGGGGCACGTCGTTTCCAAGCGTCTCTCTTAGTTGAAATTGGAGGCAAGGATCTTAGTGCACATGAGCGCGCCGCGATGATCGAGAAACTCTGGCCAAGCATTCAAGAAGCCAACGCAGTTTGTCCAGCTCATGCACGCGTAGCCAAAACCCATATTCTGTTCACAAAGCCTGACAAACCCATGCTTCGCGCCGGAAAGGGAACAATTCAGCGAGCTGCCTCGCTCGAACTGTACACTTCGGAATTGGATGCCTTGTATGCCGATGCGGACAAACTATCGCAGACAGCCAGTAATGGTGAACCTGCTGGACCTGGCCAGGTGGACGATCCGAAATTCCTTTCGGATTACATTAGAAGAACAATCAACTACGTCACTGGGTGGGATCTCACAAATACTCAAAATTTCTTCGAGCTGGGCCTTGACTCCCTGCAGGCTATCACCGCCACTCGGGCCTTCAAGAAGGGTCTTGATCTCCCAACACTCACTCCAAACTTGATTTATCTCCATCCCTCTGTGGATGAGCTCACCCAGGCAGTGCTCCACCTGCAGCAACATGAGGAGGCTTCTACTGAGGAGCGAAAAGAAGCCCAGCTGCAGCAGCGGTAAGAACTACTACAGGAGCTCAGTAGCCAGTTTCAAGCGCCCAAGTCCCATGTGGTCATTTTGACCGGCTCGACCGGTAACCTGGGAAGCTATCTTCTCGATACTCTCCTACAGTCCCCTTCCGTTGACTACGTGCATTGTCTCAACCGCACACCTTATGCAGGGGAAAGCCACCGCGTAAAACATGGCGGAATGAAAACCGATCTGTCTCGAGCGAGCTTCTGGACTGCAGACCTTTCCCAGCCGGACCTAGGCCTGGGACCTGATGTCTTCAAAACCTTGCGAAACATTGCCACTCTAATCATCCACAACGCCTGGGCAGTAAATTTCAACCTCAGCCTGTCATCCTTCAAGCCAAACCTCACCGGTGTGGTAAACTTGATTAATTTCGCTGCCCAATCACATCAGTCACCCCATCTCTTCTTCCTATCATCCATTAGCTCCACTATGGGCCACTACACAAAGACCGGTCTAACCCCGGAAGAAGTGATCACAACTACGACCCCCGGACCCAACGGCTACGCAGATAGCAAGTACCTTGCAGAGCAGTTACTAGCGCAAGCGGCTCGGCAGGGCCGACTGCACGCCTCGTTCGCACGTGTCGGTCAGATAGCAGGGCCGGTCCGCTCGAAAGGAATATGGAACAAGACCGAATGGTTTCCGAGCCTCGTCCTCAGCTCTTATCACCTAGGTGTTTTACCTGATACGCTCGGGCCGGCCCTCAATCGCATCGACTGGGTACCGGTTGATCTGCTTGCTGAAGTCCTAGTGGACTTGGCAGTGGCTTGTCGACGCGGGGAACCTGGATCTGTCCAGGTGTATCACCCAGTGAACCTGCACCCGGTAGACTGGGAGGTAATTCGTCCAGTAGTCGCCGAAGCGATCTTTAAGATTTCAAGAAAGACTATTAAGACTGTCCCATTTACGGAGTGGGTGCAGCGCGTCCGGCAAGATCTGGAGATGGCTGGTGGTACCGGCGAGAGGATGAGTGACGAAGAGCTGCAGAAACGATTGGCCAAAAATCCAGCTGCAAAGTTGTTGGAATTCTTTGAAGGGATTATGTCGCAGACTGAGCGGGTGAATGTGCTGGATACAAAATTGACGGGACAGGTCAGCGAGAAGTTGCGGGCTGTGGATGCAGTGAAGCCGGAATGGATGAATGTGTGGGTGGAGGAATGGGTTCGTCGTGAGTTGGTTGTGGATTGGTCAATTGTTGGTCGTAAGTTGGGTGTGCGGAAATGAATCTTAATGTAGTAAGTTTCAGAGAGTGATATGGTGGTCTTCCTTGTATGATATAGCACAGTGCTGCGTTTGCGCATGAAACGCTGGCCAGAAGCCTTCAGTATATATATATAGAAGAAAGGATAAACCTCGCAGTCTGCACACTGAGGGAGCTTTCCTATGACTCTCATGCACATTGCATACATGAACTGAAGTGATGGTTACAATTCAGGTGACCGGTTATACTCTGGAACCTGTAGAGCATGATTGCCTAGGTCGGATGTCGGGTGAGGAACCCGACGCTGTCTCGGAAGGTACCCGAAAATGTACCTGTTGTATAAACATACCCAGTCCACTCAACGATAGCCGAAGAGGAGTAACCTCAAACAAATGTAGCAACCGGCTCCCCCAACACCTCCATCCTCGGCGTAACCCCTAATCCCGGACACGTCGGCGCTGTAAGCACTCCCTCATGAACATCAAACGGCCCATCCGCTGTCTTCCCAACACACATAGCCCTACACTCCAAAATACATCGCAAATATTGCTCCGGAATAGTCTGTCCCAGATGCACAATGGCCGCAAACGCCACGTCCGAACCACTCGTATCCTGAACTGACATAGTATACCCCGCCGCAAGACAAATATCTCTAACCCTGCGACCTCTCGTCAACCCACCTGTCTTGGAAATCTTGAGTCCGATCCCGTCAACAGCATCGTCCACAATGAACTGCACAATAGAGCTCTCATTATTCGCCAACTCATCAAAAATAATCGGCACGTCGATCCGACGTCGAAGTGACACGCTCTCCCTGTACGTAGCGCATGGCGCTTCGAGAACGTAATCCAATCCCCTAGGAAGTAACCTGAACATTCGCAGCGCAGTATCGACCGTCATCCCGCCATTAGCATCGATTAGAAAGAACTCCCCCGGTTTCTTATCAGCCAGAGCAGCTTTCACCCTCGCAGCATTAGCCACAGGGTCCGAGCCAATCTTCACTGAAAAGCCCGTGAATCCCATCGCCCTGGCATCAGCAACATGCTTGCGCGTCCCCTCGGGATCCGCAACGGGGATCGACTCTAGAACAGGGAGCTTCGTCTCTGTCCGTCCGCCGAGCAATTCACACACCGGCAGTCCGACAGACTTGCCGAAAATGTCCCAGCAGGCAATGTCGATGGCGGATTTGGCGGGCTCGTTGCCTAGCAGGGCAGCGTCCATGGCGTCGTTGAGGCGGTCGACTCGGCGGGGGTCAAGACCGATGAGCTTGGGAGCGATCTCTGCAATGGCAGCGCGAACACCGCCAGCGTGGGACGCAATGTAGTTGTCGAAAGGGGTGCTTTCGCCCCAGCCTTCGAGGCCGGTGTTGGTGGTGATGCGGACGAAGGTGGCGTCGAAGCGGGTGATGGCGCGATTGCCGGAGAGATGGTAGGTCCCGTGGGAGTAGGGGAGGTCGACTTGGAAGACGTCAATTTTAGAGATCTTGAGGTCGGTCATTTTGGTGGTGTGTAGTAAGATGGATCTGAGATGCTGGATTGTTTGTTGGTTGAGAGTTAGGTTCAAGCGAGCTCTCATAGTAGTAGGTTTATATCTCAGACTCTCGGATACTCGGAAGCTTCGGCTTTGGGATGATTGAGGCTGCTCAAGGATAAAGTCTCTCATGACCTCGGACTCTCTGAGCATCATATTAATAATACTTACAATATGGACGAACGGGATGATGATACTGCATCCGATCCTGGACCTTCGACACATAGGGAATCCTTCCTTCTACGGCTCACGGTCCGAGCCGACAAGGTCCAATCGCCCGTCGATCGCCGACCCAGATTTCTACACAGATCACTCACTATCAGGCATCCGAGGGCTACCGAGACCCGGTATTATCTGTACACAGCCGATGGTAAAAGGTGGGGATACTCAAATAGATATAGGCTAAATACGGGCATTTTGAGCAAGTAATATGGGATGTCTCCATATTGAAAGTCATATAGACCGGGACATTGCCTGAATTTCTAACAAAAAGTCTGACACTATGCCCGTCGACGAAAATGTACAGTTATCGACTTATACGGGGAGGTGCCTATGCAAGGGGGTCGGTTTCACAGTGAAAGGCAACCCAAATGCAGTTTTCTGCTGCTATTGCGGTGATTGTGCTCTCGGGGCTGGCGGACCTTGTCAGATCGTGCGTATAGACTCTCCCTCCATTCTCCCGGAAATATTCAGCATCACATGATATATACTGATAACATAGTTACTATGGTGAAGACCGCGACATACTTCACACCAAACTTCACACTTCACGATCCTGAGCGACTTGCCAAACGCTACATCATCAATAATACCCTGAGTGGACGGTCAAAAGTCAAGTGTTTCTGCAGCGGCTGCGGGTGCACTGTATACACGATCCCGGCGATTAATGGGGATGAGGAGATAGTTGTAAGAACAGCTCTGATCGAGAATGGGTAAGTGAAATGACTATTCTTCCCCTGTATTGTCGAGCGACATGCGTATTGATGAAGATATCACCAGCCTGGACTTGTTCAAGCCCACGATCGAGTGCTATGTGAGAAACCGACCGAGCTATTTCTCTGCTACCACAACGGGCAAGCAGTATGACCTTATGCTTTGAAGGAACGATGAGGCGGTAGAGAATGCGGGGTCGATGGGTAGGGATCATCTGTATGTTTCAGTGGGATTTTAGTCAGTGCTTGGGATGGCACCTTATTCTATTTTATTCTTGAATCATTCCGGATGAGCGAACCATGAATCCTCTTGACTGATGATCGGCATATTTCCGACTGCAAATACCCGTGCACTCACCCAATTCCCATTCTGCAGTTCCTCAAACAACTTAAATCTTACTGCATAAGCCACATGGGGCCAAAAGCCACACATTATCCATTCAGGGCAGTCGCTCAAACACTGCAACTTGGAAGACCTTACCTTAACAAGCCTAGAGTGTAAAAATTCCGGTATTGACTTAAATAGGCTCAGGCATTAACGCTGCCCCCTGCATCAAGTCAGCGGCAGCTCTGCTCATACAAGGCAGACTAGGGCTTACAACATACGACCTTTTGGCCCCCAAATGTCCTCACATCCCCGCGAATATTCCAAATATAACATGACAAAAGTTAGACATTTATTATCAGTGCTTTCGGCCTTCGTAGTACGCTCTTTCATACGACCCAGCTAGCGACCATGGCCGATTCAGGCAGCTGGCAGCGCTACAACCGAGATGCTTCAATATCTATTACAGTGTTGGGTGTTTTTTTCGTGGGATTGCGATTTCTCTCGAGGCATTTTGGAAAGGTGCCTCTGGGGTTAGAGGATGCGCTGATTGTGGCCGCGTTGGTATGTTATCTTCCACCATACGCAGAGTCCATTTTAACGATGAAACGTAGTTTAACTTATTCGTCATTTTTGTACTCGACTTAGTGAGTAGGTTATCTCTTCACAATTTCTACCTTATTCTGTTATCTTGGAATAATACTAAGATCTAACAGTGGTAAAATACGGCCTTGGCCTACACCAATCCACCATCCCCATAGATGACATCATAACCATCAACAAAGTAAGCCATACCCCTTCATATTCCCTTATCAAGAAAGCCATTCTGATACCATAGCAGCTCCTCCTCCCCGCAGAAGTATTCTACTGTACCTCCCTAATCCTCACCAAAACCTCCATCCTAGCAATGTATCACCGGATCTTTCACATCCATCAGCCCACACGCATAGCCGTGTACGTCCTGGGAGCGATCACGATCATTAGAGCTGTATCCCTGATTATTGCCTCCATCTTCCAATGTATTCCTGTCGCTCGGGCATGGGACAAATCCCTCCCGGGACGGTGCATTAATCTAAAGGATACATTTATTGCGAATGATGTTGTGAATACTATCACTGATGTGGTCATTCTGGGGCTTTTGATCAGCAGAGTGTGGAAAGTGCAGGCTGGGTGGGGGGTTAGAATTAGTGCGGTAGGGATGATTTCTTTGGGGGGCTTGTAAGTGGTTCCTTTTTCTTCAGCGGATACTTCTTGCTATTGTTATTGACAGTGGATTGGTTATATACTGACGATGCCCGCATAGTGTGGTTTTCACGAGCATATATCGCATCATCACGCTAGTCGATGTCAACTTTGATGACTTAATATGTACATTGGCCCATCTATCCCTTGGATAGCTCCAAGTAGTGTACTGACTAATTGCAGACACACTGGGCCGATCCAACGCATGGTGCGTTATTGAAGTATCTTCGGGGATTATCTCTGCTTGTCTCCCAACCCTGCGTCCGCTGGCAAGGGCTCTGTTTCCGGGAGTGTTCAGCAGAAAGCAGTCCTCTCAAGGACGGGGGAATTCAAGCTATCCTACGCCAGGGAATGGTGGGTTATCAGGTGATTCTAGCAGAGACAGAGTGTATAAGAGACCAGATGTGGGTGTGGAGTCTGATGGGGATGAGTACCCATTGACAGTGGTTAAGGTCAAAGGGAGAGTCGAAGGGATTGGATTTCAATAGCGACTGGGGTTTATGCTGAGCGAGACTATTGTCCATCACAAATAGCGCTTCCTCATTACATTGCTATACACTCTGCTTCAGCCGCGATAAACAGCAATCCTTGATTTCAATCGTTGAATCTAGAGGGAGTAATAGGTTTATTCACTTCCAGATAACACCTTGTCTTCGCAGGCTGTGTCATCATCTGACTGAGCTGCCTCCTTTCCCGCTTCCGTCCCATCAAGGAATTTTTCATAAGGCAGCAACGCCTGGATTATTCTGTCACGTTTGTCCTGGCGTTCAAGAAACGAGCTACACTTTGTGTGTGCATAAAACAAGGCCGTCCGTCACTCATTATCGCGAACCTTCCAGTCAGCGCCGCTTTCTAAGAGGATAATGACCATCTCGTCGTAGCACGATTGAGCTGCACACATCAAAGCAGTTCTTCCCCAGTCATCCTGAATGTCGAGCTGAGCGCTACATTTCAGAAGAGAACGAGCGCAATCAGTGCTGCTACTGTAGATACAGCCATAAATCAGGGCTGTTTTGCCATCCACATCCTGGCGGTTCACGTCTGCGCCCTTTGCTACTAGTTGACGAACGATATTACTCCAAGATCTATCAACAGCATGATATAGCGGGAACCATCCGCCTTTATCTATGGCTGCCTCGACGTTTGCCCCACTTCGTATCAGCAAAGCCGTTACTGCCTCGTGATTGTATTGCATAGCGAAGAGCAGTGCCGTCTGACCGTCATTGTCTTCAATGTCCAGATGGGCTCCATTCTGAAAAAGTCAAAGCTGTGGCGCCTGTCACATTGCGGAGGTCAATCTGCGGCTTAGCTGCCAGCAAAAGACGGGCTTTTTCTATATCTCTCACAAGAGCTGCACGAATCAAAGCAGTCATACCCTTTCTGCATTGGATGTTTAAATCGGAGCCATTTTGTAGCAGTAGACTCAACGCTTCATCAGAGCCACGTCTGACTGCACAGATCAATGCTGTTTCTCCAAAATTGTCTTGTGAGTCAAGCTGAGGTTTGTAGTTCAAGAGAAGCCGAACTATCGAGTCATGTCTTTCAGCCACGGCCGTTATCAAAGGAGTAGCACCGTTGTTGTCTTTGAGATTAATGTCGACACCGTAGTCCAGGAGTAGCTTCACAAATTCTTCTCTTCCCCTTCCGGTTGCATAATGTAAGGGGGTCCGTCCGTACCAATCAACCATGTTTGAGTCGGCGCCCTTCTCTAGGAGAGCTTGCCCGACAGCAAAATGACCACCAACAATTGCCATGTGTAACGGTGTACGCCTACCCTGTTAGCAATTCGGCGAGACTCCTTGGCATAGAAGAGCTTCAACCGAGTCTTGATTACCCATCGGAACTTCGCACATCAGTTCATCCTCGGGAGTTGTGATTTTCTCTTGTTCAGGGCCAACATGCCGATTCTCAAGTATCTTTGCAACATCTGTGTGGCTATTCAATAAAGCCAGTTGCAGCGGCGTCACACCAAACTTGTCCTTTTGGTGCCATAAACGAACATGGTCGTAAAAACACTCGAAGAATTGCTTGCGCCCATATTCTGCGGCCCACGCGAAAACGTTTCTTCCCCAGCTATCCTTTGCATTAAGATTGCCGCCGTTCCTGACAAGTTCTTTGGCGATATTGATCAGCCCAAAGTAAGCTGCCAAATGAAGCCCGGTGATGTCGTGTGGCTTTTCCAGCTTCACATCAAAAGAGCGACTATCCAGGAGGCGCATGTACTGTGCATACAAGGCCACCTTTTCCTTTGACATCAGAAGTGGCAGTAGAAGCTCATCACTTACTGGGTCAAGTCGAGAATGGTAGTCCCAATATTGAGCTGCATAGAGGTAAAAGGGATGCTGTGATACTATAGTTGCGGAGTCCTGACTCATATTCCAGTCACAGGACAGATATGTGACGCAGGTTTCGGCGATTCTCCGATGAGCATTTGGAAACCATTCTTCCAAACGATTGTTTATAAAGCCCTGCGCAGTATGATGGGCGAGACAAACAACCTCGCTCTCCATGTCCACAGAGACGAACCCCGCGCACACAGAGACTATCAATATGGCATCAACAACGTCTTCCGTATCAACAGACTGACTGCCCGTTTGTATTGCTAATGCATGTTGCAATTCACGAATACTCAGAGGCCTCCCGACACATACGATCCATGAAAGGGCATCTAAGGCCAAATTTCTTAGGTTTGGTGATTGGTCCTCGATACGCTCCATGGTCTTCCCGTACGCCAATTTCTGAAGTTCTGGATTGTTGAACAGTTCTGCTAATGCCTGGTGCATCCGCTTGGGTGAGACTTGGTCACTCAAGGAATCGAGGCACAGCTTTGCAAAATAAAACCTGCGTTCGTGTTCAGTCAGATGAGCATCGGAATCAATCCATTCACTGACCAATGGTACTTACATTCCGCTAGCAGCCCGGGGAACATCCTCCAGGATATTGTCCATCATTGCTTGATCCTGCGTAACAAAGGACGGCAGGGAAGTGTTATTTCCTTGAATATAGCTTCGAACATCTTCATCCGTGGCACGTATCTCCAGAGAAGAACAGCCATGCCTTTCCCTGAACATCTTCTGAATCTCAGGGGCGAAAAGTGAGGTTGCGAGTATATTTAGGCCAGTAGCATCCTGAATTCGAAAAAGCTCCGATATGAATTTCGTCGGTCCTTTCATAGGACTCTGGAACTCATCCAGAGCGTCGATAACAACGTATACCTGCCTATCACTACTCATAGAACAAAGAATTTCGACCATCTCGCGTGTTGACGGTTGCGTGCCGCTGGTACTATGTCGACCATAAAGAGTCTGCAGTCCCTGCATCAGTTGCCGGTCTTGTTGGGCAAGCTGCTTCAGAATTGACGCGACAATGTTCCTGGTTCTCTGTTGTGATGGAAATCTGAAGTTGAAGCTGAAGGACACATATCCAAGCGCGTGACTCAGATTGTTCTCGTGCCGGTGTGTAGTAATACATTCAATGATGGTAGCTGCCATGACTGTCTTCCCTGCGCCAGGAATGCCTAGACAGAGTAGCGTTTGCCCTTTGGCCTGGTACCAGGACTGGAATTTGTCCGAGTTCAATAACCACTGGCCGGTGCCTGGGTAAATTTCCTCAAAGATAAAGCTTTTTGTCGATATCGTAGGGAAAGTCATTCAGCCATGCGAGTGTTGTCTCATTATGGTTGTGGGTTATCATATCATCAAGTTTGGCGACTCGGTTTTCTACTTCTCGCAATCCCCACGAAACTGCCTGGTGTTAGCTTATAGGTTTCCGACGATAAGTATATCTCGACATACAGTCTTCCTTTGGTTGAGGAGTGACTTCGGTACAGCCGACATTCTCAGGTGGTATGACTCGCAGGAGATCTTTGGCGTACGCGGCCGCCATGGCTGCTGCATATCGCTGCCAATGATCATTTTTATGGTCATCAGAGTAGTCTGCCACTCCTCGAATAATTAAACAAGGAAAGTAATTCATAAGGCCCGCTGCTTCCATCTCGAAACAGCACACTCCCCAGGTATCTCGGAGATGATCGCGGTATACCGCGGACCTCATGACAGCATTTGCGGAGGCAATGAGACCGTAGTGTACAGCAGGATCATCTGTTTCACGATCAAGGCGTTTTTCTAAGTGCTCAGTACCGCAGCTTGAACAGTCCAATCCCTCCGTGTGCGGGTGATTTGGTTTGTATAGCCGGTCCAATTCGCGGCCAGGGAAGTGGAAGCCCCACGTTCGTAACCTGCTCGATTGTCTGCTGACATCTTTGAAGTAATCGATCATCTTTCCCATCCCGTGATCATAGTCTGATTTCAGCAGGTTCATGGCGGCCAGCAGATCTTTTGGAGGCCGTTTCAGATGTGATCTGATTTCAAACACTCCATTCTCTCCCCATCGGCCTTTGTCGTACTGCAACACCCCACCTGGTTATTGTGAGAATAAGAGTAAAGAAGATAATGTCCAAAGTCCAGAACTAGGTACATAAGCAGGGGAGAAACCGAGTCTTACTGTGCTTTTCGTTTGGCTCACTAACAATAACATCTCCCAGCCGAATGTCTTTCAATGGGTCTATAGGATCAGGTTCCGAAGGTGCCCCCCCGCCTATGCCGACCATCAGGCCAAACCGTATATTTTTGAATGTGCGAACCATGTGGGCCACTGTATGAGCAATGACATCTGCACCATACGAGCCCGCTCCCGGAAACGCGATGACCACTTTGTGTTCCCCCATTCGGCCAACGATATAAACATTGTTATCATTCTGCCGTCTACGAGGCTGTTCATGTTCCTCATCAAGGAAGGCTCGAGAAGCAGTGACCTCGTCTTTGATAGCGCAGACCCAGCCCACAGTGTAAACGCTAGGATCAAAACTGGGAGGCATAGCTGATTTTGGTCGTGCACCTTGGTCACAAAGAGTGTGAGAAGATATCCATCTATAAAACGCAACACCTGGTCAAGCTAAGAAAAGTTCCAAAACGACACCCGAAGCTGTTATTAGGCATCAGTCTCGCTCATATTGACCCCTTGCGCACGGGCGCGTACGCCTAGAGTGGCGGCCAATCAACCACTGTGAATGCTAGAACAACACATCGCAGCCTTGTACTCTGTACTCGCCTCCCCGCCTCGGCGCTATGGCTCACGCTGTCACCCAATCCAATTATACCGAATGCCAATCGCATTACTTTATGTGTTGGTGGTGGATGTCAACACTGAGTGGAAAGGAGATGCGTGAGGGCCGAAATACTTCTAAAGAAGCCACGACCCGTGAAGTTTCGAGATTGTCAGTCATTAATGTTGGAACAGACGAGTGATTCGCATGTTGTCTCCGATACTCGAGGCAGGGCTGTTTACCTACAGAATAAGAGATATGGGATACTTGGCGATGAGCGCTCCTTCGTTACATGCGACACTAGAGTTCTCAGCTACATCCTGCGGGGGCCTCACGATATCTCAAATAGCGCCAGAGAAAATACTGCCATTCTATGTAGGTGGCATCTTCGACTCGCGTGTCCGGTCTATGCTTTGCTTCCTGTTGACAGGGTCACTGATGACCAAAGTACATATCCTGAACAAGGTCAAGATAATGAAATCGTCTCTCTCCTCATCTTCGTAGTACCATCACCACCCAGTTTTCCTAACTCTGCTCGATCCAACCATGCAGATCCCACACGCTCATGGTGCCCCTCTCTCCCACCCTGAACTTCCTTCACAAGAAGAACAAAAATCCCGATATGATCCCACAGCGTGCATAGGGTAATGCTATGCTTTCTTTCGAAGAGCACCAGCCCCGTATATTCCTCCTCTATCACCCCATTCTCACTTGAACAAGGAAGTGGCCCGCAGAACAGCACCGGAGCACGGGTATACCCATCCCCTATAACGATTCTGACTGCGGGAACAGAAGTAGTCCCAGAGGGAATACTCAAGAGCTTTATCTGGAGGCAATGGAGGACGGTACATTCAATCTGCAGAAAGGGCGAGAATTCAGGCAAGATATTCCCCCAAAGAGCGCTATTGTGGTTGACGAAGAATTCTTCTATTGAGATATTCCCTATGGAGATATGGTCAATACTCTGACGAATATTGAAGCAAATCCATATGCGAACAGGTTGATGCCCATCCAGCTCCTGTGGGAGAAGATCATCCTCTGCACAGCCGAATCTCCTGTTCCAGAGAAAGTAGTGATATGAGACCTGGCCTATCCAGCCGGCCCAGGACCAGCTGGGGAATTCTTTTCTCCGTATTAAGTGTCCATCTTCCCCATTTTCACTGCAATCATCTTTGCAAGGAGGTTGGTAAATAGGTTCCCAGGATAGTGCACAGACGAAACGGAGATTCGGATCGCGCGCTAGGTTATAAGGAGTTTCTCCGTCAAACAAGAACGGAATACCGTAGAATGTTGGATGATCGGAGCGAGCGAGGATGCCTCGAAAGGCGTTGATAGCATCGGAGTTGTAGGAGAGGCTTCGACTTGAGTAGTGTGATAGGTGTGTACGGAAGGCCCATGGTCGATAGGGCCTACTGGAATAGTATGCAGGATGTTGGGATACTTGATAGGTGAACCGAGAAGAATCAAGGATGTCGTCGCGGGCAGGTTTTGCGGCTGTTTGGGCCGTGGCCATGAGTGACAAAGGAACAGGGGAGAGCACGGTCGACTCGCAATTTGTGGTCTCTCCGCACATATAGTAAACCTGAAAGTCTGTGAAGAACAGACATCGACGCGAGAGGATTACTTCCTGAAAGGTCCAGCCACGAGAAATCCATGGACTGGAGGCTAAAGCACGTCGTATAGAAGGCAGTGTAGATACCAGTCTCAAATTTGTCCCAGAGGCTGTCGGTGAGGTTGCTTGTGGTTGGCGCCGTCGTGGAACCGCACCAACGCCAGGTAACCCAGAAATCGAAATATCAGAACCAGCAGCGATTATAGTAGCATAGGAACCGGAGTAGATTAGGTCCATGCGAGATATTTGATTGTGCTTTTCTTGTGCGTTGTCCTGGTCAATGCAGTATTTGTCGACCCAGAGATACCTACCTCCGAGGTTGTTGACGACTCTGATGGCATCTTCGATAGTGCCGTGCACTTCGTCCGAAAGCAAAGCCTTACGGTTTGGTATTTGGACAGCTGCATCCTCTGGTGACAGTGGTCCCCATACGTAGCTCAGCGCGAAATACTCCCAACCTGGCTGAAGTGGGACAATTTGCCGGGTATGGCAATCGATCACCTTTAATACAAAAGGCGGAGGAGTAGGTGAGCAAGTACATCGAGGCCCATGATGGCTCTGGCAGCTCTCCATCCACTCCTTCAGACGAGTGTAATCAATCTGATTCGGTGACACTCGGACACCGTGAGTCCGTAGGTTGGCAATATCAGACCCCTCCACCGGCATAATGACACTTTGTTCTAGATGGCTGCAGATATCAAGGATCCTGATTTCACTGGTGATGAAGACATCATCCCCGCTTCCCGGAAACACTGCGAGAAACACACTGTTTGACTCATCACTCATATACTCACTCCCCCTGCGGATTTGCTTGATGATTTCTCGCCGTTTTGGTTCTGTTGGCATTTCTGTCGTGACACCTACTTCTTTTATGAGGCTGCTGAATGCACGTAGATGATATTGGCTGGTATCCCATGTTGATTGGCGAGCTGATACGTCGAGGTCGAACTTGACTTTGTCGAAGAGATCGCACATTTGGCATGGCGTTTTTGGGTCGCAAATGTTACTACCCAGTGATATAATTGGCAGACCTTCGAACCTTGCATCTCGGACATCGTTGCTGAGGTGGAGGATTGCATCAAAGTCAATGGCGCGGCACCTTGTGCAGAGAGGGGCATCCTGGTCCACGGCATCCATGGTCTGTTACAACGATAAGAGGTCTTTATATAGAATATATATATAGAAGCCTATTAGAAGATGTGGCGTATATTGCACGTCTAAGCTACTACACATTGGGCATGTAAACAAGAAACCGTTGCAGTCAGCGATGGGCGTCTGGCTGACCTGAGCCCCGCCCTGCAGGATCCGACTCTTGGCCCGAGCTGCGAGTGGAAACAGAACTAAACGTGGGGGCCAGATGTAAATGAACTTAGTAGCACTGGGCTGCAAACATGATTTAGCAATATAAGTATAATGAGTACTGTTGAATGTTTGAACCAAAATCATTTATTAAGCTTGCTCTTACGTATAATTGAGAGTCTATTTAGGCTAGGCAATACAAGTAAGTATACGACAAGCACATCTTACACAACTCGTTATAAATATCCCACATGCAACCTCTCAAAACAAATACCCATCAACTAGCGCAAGATAAATCCCGGAGAAAGAGGATCTTCCTCGTCAATCAAGAACCGAGAGTGCGCAATCAGATGTGCCTGGCCCTTCACAAGCACATTACAGGAATCAAAGCCCTCATGGGAACCACCCCAGGACTCTATTTCAGCTTCAAAAGCCGACCCGATAATGGAGTGATGTAGAAGTTTCTGGTTCTTTCGAAGCCGACCATCCGAAGATAGGAGGGCAATTCTCGCACAAGTGCCAGAGCCGCAAGGGGACCGATCAATCTGACCATCACCATAGACAGTAACATTCCTCTGGACGATTGTCTTCCGGTAATCTGGGTGGTTCCTTTCGTCCTCGAAAAAGATGACTGCGTACAACTCATAATCGAGATAGGTTGCCCTATCACAAAGTGCTTCTTTTATTTCTCGCTGAAGTTTGATGAACGCATCCGCATTGCCCGGCTTGACCTCAAGACCCAATTCGGCAGCACTCACTGAAGCCATAACAGCACCGGCAAAAGCCAAGTCAACACGGATCTCCTCATTACGAGAGGGGATCTTCACAGATAGCCCCTTCTCTATCGGAAAGCTGGCGATATTCATAAAGTAAGCCTGTGCTGGCTCTCCATCTTTCATAGTAACATGCGCTGCCACACGACCAGACGGAACATCAATCACCACCTCCACAACTCCATCCTCTGGAGCCTCGACAAGACCTGTCGACACAGCCCAGGACCCTAGGGCAATGGTACCATGACCACATGCCGTCGAAAATCCGCTCGTATGCCAGAACAATACACCGAAGTGCGCACCTTTGTCGTCCGGCGGAGTGATAAAGCCCCCGTACATGTCAGCATGTCCTCGGGGTTCATGACTGAGAAATTTGCGGAGCCTATCCAACGGGTGGTTCTCGGTCTGGATGATCTGGTTGCGCCGGTCAGAGACGGTCCTACCTGTAGGCATGTACCCCGATGGAACTTCGGGGATGATGCGGAATGGCTCGCCGGCTGTGTGCCAGTCCTCGGACTTAATCCAGTAGAATGGGTTGGTTGTCATCGTTTGTGTGCTAGTAAAAGAAGAAGAGATGGCTTAGATATCGGATGTGAGACTTGAGGGATATAGATGTCAATATAGCATATTCTGAGTTTATTAGGACCGTTTGCTACTTTGTAGGTTGAGGTTTAAAGGAGAAATATGCTTTTTAAACATAGAATTTTTGGCTATCGAAATAGGAAGCTATCCCAAGGTGCTGGCCGGAAACGGCAACAATGCGGTAAGCTCGGGAAGGCCGATCATCCCGCGTATCAATTTTATGAGTAATCCAATCGCTGATATCTTTTGAAAGAAAAAGCATATATAAAAAAGCAAAGAGACAGAGTAATTAGAAAGCAACCAAGGGGGGAAAGAAGATCGTCTGAGTATTTGGAGTCTTTATAGGTCATTCCATTTCCATCCTCTGGGAAGGAGAAGAAATAAGAAAAGCAGACAAATGCGCCAAGACAAGACGAGAGGGAAAACATCTCACAACAAGACGGTGACAGCCAAGCATAGGTATGTATGTTAGCGGGATTTCAGATGCCGACCAGCGTACATATAAA